TTTCTGAAATCTTTTATCTTTATCTTTTTTTTTGTACTAGGAATTGAACTTGGCCTTGTGCTTGCCAGGCAGGTATTGTGTCACTGAGCTTTACCTTTACCTTTATCAAAGATTCCTATTGTCACAAATCATCTCTTGGAAGCACTTGTAATACTCTCATATATAGGCTGGTATTACACTCAGAAACCATTACAAAACCATTACAAAAACGTATCTCCTAGCTCTTCTCCTAAGGGTCTACTTATCTTTCCAAAAAATCATCTGTTTCTGTCTAAGTGCTCTTCCTCTTCCTCCCCTCTCTTGAAGAAGTCAAGAAATACCCTCTGCCCTTCTCCATTCCCAATGAAGATGGTATAAAAGCCCCAAATACTAGCCACTTTTTGGATTGATATTTCTTTGTAAATGTCCTAGTGTGTGTGTGTGTGTGTGTGTGTGTGTGTGTGTGTGTTTGTGTATTTAAAGATTTTTTTCTCATTCTAATATTTTTTATGAATTGAATTTCCAGGGCCCTAAACAACCTAAGAAGGTGGAGGAAATGTTTTCTTTGTGACACAACTCAGCCTTTAAATAAATTTCCAAAGTAGGTTTCAAAAAGAAAGCCTTGCTGATGACAAAACAGCATTTGATCCCTTTTCCTTGCAAGCACTGGCCAGCGAGAAGGGTGAAAATCACTCAAATTGAAAAGAGTGGAAAGACAAGGTGTTGGAAATTTCCACTGAACAAAATTCTGGGGCTAGAGAGGATGAAAGATGTGTCTTCATGGGAAAGATAAAATGAGAGAGCTTCTGAGTAGGCAGAGAGACATTCCAGCAAACAATGAGAGGCCTGGGCTAAGAGCCAGGAAAGCTGTTACCAATGCACCTTTCCAGGGCTCCCTGAGTCTAGACTTAGTTTACCCCAGATCTCAGGAATGGTATTAGTACCCATCCACTGGGCCCACCAGAAATTGTCAATCGTCTCTGACTCTCTCCCCTTCTATCTATGTCCAACCCTCCTGTGGCAGATTAGGGTGTGCCAAGGCAGCTGGGCAAGTGGGCATGATCTATTAATCATGGAAATCCAGGACTCATGCCCTGAAAACTGTTCCCCACACCTAGGATCAATCAGAAAATGCTATTTTTAATTCTTTGTTGAGAAATCAAGCAGGCATTTGATAGCATCGCCTAGATCTGACGTCAGCATGGAGGATATAAAAGCAGCCATTAAACTCATGGGTGCTGTGAGCCTTTTCTCTGGCCCATGCTGCACTTTCCAGAGTGTACTTCTTTTCCCACCTTTACCTGGCCCACACTCACTCTGCAGAGCATAGTTCTTTTCCTACATTTAATAAGTGTAAAACTTTTCTACCTTTTTGCTTGTTTTGACTGATTCTTTGTTCAGGACTAGAACCCCACAGCACCTCAGAACTCTGCTGACACCACCGTAAGTGACTCTCACTTAAGTAGAGAATAGCTTGCTTAGTTCATGAGTAAGGTAGCCAGCTAGAGGAAGGACCTGAGATAAGAGTTATGAAATCAGCTGTTCTGGACCAAGAGTTCCAAGGTTCCACAGGCAACCCGGAAAGCAGTCTATTTCCTACTAAATTCTTGAGTTTTGAAAAATTTTAAATGCAAAATAAACAGTTTTTCTGTAAATCCTGGCTTCCTTTAAACCTCATGAACTGAAGAACGGGGTTTGAGAGCTTGAGTTCCAATTGGTCATTTTAAATCCAGAGTCACCTGTGATAGGTGCCATTGAACAACTGAGCAATTCTGTTTTTGTTTTTTTTTTGGTGGGGGGATTCAACTCAGGACCTGCGCTTCTAAGGCAGGTGCATTGAGATAAATCCCTGGCCCAATAACTGAGCAACTTTTATGCTCTGCTTATCCAAAAGTAGCTCTAGATCAAGGGGACAAGTGGTTACCCACTCAGGATCCTCCCTGAAAATTCAAGAGCTAATCTTATTATTGCCAATAAAAACTCTCCTAACCTCCTCCTTTGGTATGTGACCTTAAAGGAGCATCATTAACATTAAGACCTCTCATTTTACTTCCTAAATTGTCCCAATTTCCCCACTTGTTGCCTTCCCCCACTGAGATTCCTTAAGCTCAAGGCTAGCTCTGAGCAGATGGAGGGGCCTATTTGCCTCAGATCACCATCTATCTCACTGTGTACTGCAGACAAGGCTCTTTTATAGTAAGGAATAGAGAAGGGGAGCACAGAGAAATAATGCAAATCTTCACACTTGCTTTATCATTTTTAGCGATCTTCAGCTCATTGTCCTTTTTCTCGTGGAAAAGAAGTTGTATTTGTCAGCATCTGCAGGATCTGTTCATTCATCTAGACTGTGAAAGATGGGGGAGCTGTTAATGCCCTAGGCCCCAGGAAGTCACTTATCTCCAAAGGAAAAATAAAAATCTCTAAAACTAACTTTTAAAGTTGTGCTTTGCAGTGCCAGTTACACTATCCCAATTCACTTAACTGCAACCAATACTGCCCACCCCCCACCACTTGTAGATTTGAATTGGTCCAGTGCTGGCCATGTGTGATCTGATATGTTAGATGGCCTCCCACACTATGCATTCCAAGATTAGGATTTTTAACATGGGCAGGAAGGCTCTGTTTAGTCTGGCCTCCAGCTTCACACCGAAGCACTCTCCCTGCCACCTATGCTTCAGTCACAACGGCCTCCTTTCAATTTCTTAGGCTCGCAATGTTCTCTCCTGACAAAAGACCTTTACACAAGACATTTATTCTGTTTCCTTTCAGTTTCTCATTCTTCAGCTCTCCATTTGAATGTGACTTCCTCAAGAAAGCTTTCTCTATGCTCTCTGAAAGATCAGTGAATGCCCCTCTTATATGCTTCACAGAACCTAAATAAATTAAACATATTAGGCGAACATTAGGCTTATTAGGGGGTAACAATATTCCCGCTAAAGCAGCACCTTTTATTGGCTTTCCTTCCCTGTTTGTTGCCTTGTTTTCGTTTTCTAATACTTTGAATGTTAGCCTTACTTTTTTCTCTTTTTCAGGGTTTCTCCCACTTGAGGCAGATGCTTTATAAGGACAGTTTTTTTTCTTTTAATATCTCAGTCTTCTTAGCATTTAACACAGGCCTTGTCCATAAATGTTTGGAATCACTTCTTGTGTTTTCCCCTCAGTATTTATTTAGTTGCCTTGTTTTCGTTTTCTAATACTTTGAATGTTAGCCTTACTTTTTTCTCTTTTTCAGGGTTTCTCCCACTTGAGGCAGATGCTTTATAAGGACAGTTTTTTTTCTTTTAATATCTCAGTCTTCTTAGCATTTAACACAGGCCTTGTCCATAAATGTTTGGAATCACTTCTTGTGTTTTCCCCTCAGTATTTATTTACTTGGCAAACTCCCTCCCCCTCTGTGTGTGTGTGTTTGGCAAACTCCCTCCCCCTCTCTGTGTGTGTGTGTGTGTGTGTGTGTGTGTGTGTGTGTGTGTTGCTGGGGACAAAACCCAGCATGTTAGGTAAGGGCTCTACATTTGGGCTACAATCCCAGTCCAAACTCTTACCACTTGATATAAAGGAGGCAGTGATACAGTGTAACAATGTACATATTCTATTTTTTGGTTTCCTCATTTGAAAAGCAATGCCTTAAAAGGTTGTTGGAAAGATGAAAAGAGTTGATGTTTCTCTCCCACCACTGGCTAGGTTAAATCTTTGCAGACTCAGTTTTTACAATCTCTTGTGCCCCTTAGCTCTTCTTTATCCCCATCCTGTTTTTAACCCTTTTAACAGTAGAACTTGATCACTCAATCAAAACCAGAGAACAAAACATTAGCAAGTGTAAAAACTATTTTTTTTTCTCTTGGGAAAGATATTTCAAAGATGTATCTGTACAGCTGCAGAGGACTTTTAATACTTTGAAAATGCAAAAGATGAAAACCAAAACGGTTAAATTTCCACATCAAAACAAGTGAAATATTTATTCCCACTTGTTTTCTATATATGCAAAATGACGGACCCACACTAAATTTTAGATCTCTTCATCCATTCATGTTTACAGAACTCTTTAAGCATTTCACCATCTAAGGCAGGTCACTTCAGCGAATCATCCTGAAGCTTCCAGCATAATAAATTATTCTTACCAAGTGGATACATTTAGTTTCTTTCTTTCTTTACCTGTTTGTGTTGTCAAAGTTTAAACATATTAAAACAATGATGCTCTTTGAAAACCATAGCTTTTTATAATATGCATATGTAACTAAACTAGAAAAAAATGAAAATGTTTGCACATGAGGTAAAACGTCACAGGGGTTAAAATATGATGAAAATGTTCGTTAAAATTTCTCCACCCTTCTCTGACTGTGAGGACATTCCCTGCATTTCTGTCATTCAAGTATCAATATAGCCAGCGGGCTCATGTAATAGGGCTTTGGAGACTGGTCTTGAGTTTTAAGAAACAGCTTTTATTGTTACCCACAGGTTGAAATTCCCATACCTCACAAGAGGTAAAGTGTCATCAAATAACCCTTTTTGACGTCTGGGGTGACAGAAGCCTCCACTACTCCTGGGGTCTAGGCTGCATTTCTCCACCGGGACCTTTAGAACTGCCCTCTACTAAACTGTGGGATGTGAACTTGCTCGGCTGCTGGCTGATGACAGGTGATCAGCGACTCTTCAGGTCCTACCCCTCCAGCCTTATACCCTTCACTGCCTCTCCTTCACTGTTTTCCCCACCTCTCTCCTCTCTCCGCGGCAGTCTGGGACCACTAGGGCCAGTGTCAGTGTTTTCTTTCCCCAGCGAGACTTGGCAGAACAGGCTTTACGATAAAAAGAAGCAAGGGAAGACTAAGAAATAACTATTGGGAAGAGTCGCAATAATGGCAGTACACCTTGGGACCCTCCACGGTCCGCAAAGACCACAGGGACAGGAGCCCGCAGGCCGAGCGCCGAGATCCCCAGCCCCCAAACGGCCAGCGCCGCTTGGGTCACGTGACGGGGGTGCGCGCCGATTACGTCGCCGATTGGTTGGCGGGGAGAACGCGGGGTTTTATGGGAAGGAATTGTCCCGGCCCAGCGTTCTGTCTGTGGCTGCTGCTGCCTCCATCTGAAGCGGGCTGAAGTGGTGGCCGAGGCCGCCAGCGGTGGACGCCAGGGCCAGGCTTCCCTCAGGTAGAGTGTTTAAGATGAGGGCAGTTGGGAGGGCTGGCTCATCAGAGAGGAGGCGCGCTGGGCTTTCCGCTGGGGAAATACGTACACACTCCGGGTTCCCCACTGCCTCTCGCAGTTGCCGCCGCCCATGCCAAGCGGCCTGTGAGCTCGGCGGCAGCTTCGGCGGCCAGTTAGGCATCCTTTGAGGTAGGCGCTGACCCATGGGGGCGCCTCGTCCCCTTGGTTTCCCAGCACAGTGGCAGTAGTGGGTCTGGAGGGCTCGAGACCGGGTTCCTGCCCCGCGAGGGCTGGTGGTTTCTCCAGCTCTGCCCTCGGAGGTTCTGATCGGCTTGAGCCCGGCTCCTGGCCCACCTGTGTGGAGAAGAGCCAGAAGATGCCAAACTAGCATATCCCACTAAGCTGTCCTCTCTGAGTGACCCAGTACGGCTCCTCTTTCCGTGAGTTGTGCTGAGGCTTCATGAGTTGGGAAGATCGGGAGGGACTGAAACTGTCAGTGTCATGCTGCTCGGCTCGCGTGTGGGCGTGGATTCCGTGCACCGAGGGAAGCAGCTCCACACTGTCGTCCTCATTTATTTTGAGAGAAAGGCGGCCGGCTTGAAGGTTGGAGGGGGAAGTGCGAAGATGTGCGGTGTGCTAGGCGCGGCAGAGGAAGAGCAAATCTAAGTCATCAGTGGGTTTCATTCTTTAATGCTGTGTTTAAGGATAGGGAGAGAGAGAGTTGGGAGTGGTGAACTCTGTTTTGCTGATGTTTTGATCCTCACAGTACTGACCAAGACCATCGACTCGCTAAGTTTTCCATGTTCTGCTTCTTTACTTCTGGTTTGTGGTGCTTCGCGTCTACTATTTTCTCCTTAGTCTGTGGCCTGGGGTTTCACCCTTGACAAATCTGATTCTGTTCAACAGCAGTGTGGTGGATGTGAGGAAGCTTAGTCTGAGGCGTTTGTTCAAGCGGGCAGGAAATGCTAATCCCTTGTCCTCAGCAGCTCCCATAGTGGTTGTTTCGGAGAACTAAATTGATTTTAATACATTTTCTTAAACAAGAGTGGTGCTTTTAAACTTAGAATTTTAAGATTTTCTATCATCTGTTGAGATCAGTTTAATGATGATGTCAATACATTTGTACAGTGTATGTATTATTAACTTGAGAGAGTATAAGCAAAGGAGGATATGTCTGTCAAAAGATATGATTTTATGTAGAAATTCTACTTCTAATCAATTAGTCATTTTTTGGGTATTATTTCAGAGTACAACTTTACCATGAAAGAAAACACTTTATCAGGCCGGCGTGGTGGCGCATGCCTGTAATCCCAGCACTCAGGAGGCTGAGGCAGGAGGATTGCTGTGAGTTCGAGACAAGCCTGGGCTACATAGTGAGTTCCAGGTCAGTCTCAACTGCAGAGTGAGACCCTGTTGCAAAAAACCAAAAACAAACAAACAAACAAACAAAACCCACTTTATCACCATATATTAAAAGTGCTTATTTTTCATCCATTATATTTTTGCAATAAATGTGATATTTCAAAATTGTCTTTTCAATTAGGATATTTAACAGTTAAAATTTTAGAACAAACCACTTTTAATCTTAAATTGTGTAGTGCAATGTTATGGAAATGCCCTTGAGGGTGACTAAATAGTTTTAAGTTTGGAACTTGATACACATAAAACTTCCCTTGCTATTTTCCCCAGAGGCCTACATGGTTATTTGAGTGAAATGTATGCAGAGTATCTTGCTTTATATTTTTTCATACTGGAATAATAGAGCAATATATTTTTAGTAAAAATACAAACAGATTTTATTTTTCAAATTTTCAATTATGAAGTAGGTGCTTTCTTTACAAGAAATTAGAAAGGTTCCATTTAAGTACCACATATGTTTTCTGTAATAGAAATAATAATTGCTACAATTTATTAAGTGCTTACTATGTGTTGAATACTGGGCTAAATGATAATTTCAGTTAATCCATAGAACAGTTAGTTCTATGAAGTGTAGTTACTTTCCTCATTTTACAAACTGAGGCTTAGAGAATTTAATTTGCCCAAGATCACATACTAGCTAATATGTGGTTGAGTCATATTTTGAATCCAGATATATTTTACTCTTTTGTTTTAATGAGATTTAAAGTGAGCTGAAAAAAACCCCATTTCTTAGGACTTAAATTCTGACACCCAGACCTGAGTGTGATAGCAGTTAGAAAACATTCAAACAATATGGTGGACAGTATTGTTCACTGAAAAACACATTTATATGTAGCCAGCTCTTAGGGTCATGTGAGATCCCATTGAGATATCAGAGTCAAAAGAGGTATGTGCATATTCATGGAAGATTCTTGGGGACAAGCCACATGAGGTTGAGCCATTTATGTACTCAAGGGCAAACTTCAAAATACATTCTTCAAAAGGAAATGCTAGGATCATGTGGTTTCCACGTATTTTCTAAGTACAGTATGTGAAAGAAAGCAGAGATAGACTAGAAAATAGTAATGACAAAAAAGAAAAAGAAAAAGAAAATAGTAATGACCACAGCTTACACTGTGTGTTGAGTAATTATTGTGTATCAGGTGCTATGATAGTTTAGAAAATACTGTTATTTAACCTTTTCAACATTTAAGAGGATCCTTAACTATTACTGTTTTGTAGACGAGGAAGTTGAGTAAGAAGGAGGTTAAGTAATTTATTTGCCTATAGTTTCATAGTAAGTATTGGGCTATTAGAATTGGAGTAAGGATGTTTGAATGGTAAGGAGAGATCAGTGGTTAGAAATAGAAATGTGAAATTAAAGCTAGTTTAATTATATTTTGATATGCTTTCATGTCTGTTGAAAAGTACCACCACATGTACCTTGTAGTAAATTAGCTTCTTTAACAAATATTAGAATTTGATAGAAAAATTGCTGAAATTTTTGATAGAAAAATTAGTGAAGGTTAACAGTTTCTTGAATTATGAATATGAAACCATGCATGGATGTGGCTTTTTTTTTTGTACCTGGGATCAAACTCTGATCCTTGTGCTTTCAAAGCAGGTGGTGGAACCGCTGAGCTAGATCCCCGGCCTGGATGTGGCTTTTTATTAGTATCATCATAGTTTGTTTCATTAACACCAAAACAGTTTTCTGGGCCAGGGATGTAGCTCAGTGGTTCCACCAACCTGACTTGCAAGCTCAAGGCCCCAAGTTCGATCCCCGGAACCAAAAAAAAAATGAAAAAAGAAAACAGTTTTCTAAGCAAATAATTGCAGTCAGAATTGTTATTAGTTGTGATATTATGCATATATATATATATATATATATCAATTACACTAATTTTATTTTAGATTTTTTGGTTGCTGGAGTTTGAACTCTGGACCTGTGCTTGTGAAGCAAGCAGAAGCACCACTGAGCTAAATCCGCAGCCCAACACTAATTTTAAAAGTGATATGTAGTAAAATAAAAGCTGTACCTTCACAGTTCTGTTTTTTTCTGGAGCTGCATGACTTCGATGAATCATTTAGCTTGTCTTTAGATTTAAGCATTTAAATTTAATCAAGAGAATTTTTAAAAATTGGACTACACGCTACATTAAATGTACTGTCTTCTGTTTGTAATTCATTTTCCGCTTCTGTAGTTCTGTTTGCACTATTTGAGAATGTTAGAGGAGCTTTCATGTATTTTATATATAAATATTCCAGCCTAATCTAGCCTTCCTTTCTTTTGTGCTGTTGGGACTAACTGATTGCTTTTCTTAAAATAAAAGTAAAATGCAGTGGTTGGCCTTGCTACTTAACATTATTGGGGCATTAGCATATTATTTCACTTTAGCTTCAAGTTCTTCATTTCTAAAGTAGAGGGATAGTAGTATCTAAATGATAAAATTAATCTAAATCATTTGTTTTAATGCCTGCTAAAGATGAAGTGCTTGTTGTCATTTATTTCAGATAGAAATTCGTGGGCTAGGGATACAGCTCAGTGGTAAGAGTGCGAAGCCCTGGGTTCAGTTCCTGGCACCACTCAAAGGAAAAGAATTTAACCGTAAATGTGTTAGTTTTCTGTTAGTGGCAAAATACCCGAGAAAGCCAATTTAAGGGAAGATTGACATTGAGTCATTTGCAATGGATACACCGTGAGACCATAATGTTCAGTGACATAGATTAGACAACATGCTTAAACATCCCATAGTTTCTCTTACATGAGAAATCCATATTTTTTTTCATTTTTTTGGGGTACCGGGGATTGAACTTGGGTCCTTGTACTTGCTAGGCAGGTGGCGTAACCACTGAGCTAAATCCCTGGCCCCCAAATTTTAAATAAAGAGGAAAATAAAAGATACAAGGAAGTAAGGAGATTGGTCTTTCAAATGAGAAAAGGATCAGGAAATGGAGAGAGTGGGAGGGAGGGGAGGGAGAAGGGATGAAAAAGGGTGTTAAGATGTGTTATGTACATGTACCAATCATACAAAAGGAGTGTAAATATTATGTCTTGAAAACATGTACTAAAGAAAAAAGGAGAGAGAAAAAAAGAAAAGAAACAGGGAGGAAAGAGTTATTTATTTAGGCTTATAATTTCAGTTCATAGTTGACTAGTTCCATTGTTGTGGGCCTAAGATGAGACAGAATGTGCCAGAAGGGCCTGGTGGAGCAAAGCTGAAACATCTGAAGTCCTAAAGCAGAGAGCAAGTGAGAGAGCCAGAGAGGAAAGGGCCTGGGATAAGATTTAGTCCTCCAGGCCATGCCTCCTTGACCTATTCCCTTCAACTAGGCCCTGCTTCTTAAATTTCCCTTACCTCCCAGTAATACCATTGAATGATTTCATCAGTGGATTAATCTATTGAAGAAGTTATAGAGTCCCCATGATCTGGTTACCTTCTGAAAGCCCCACTTCTGAACATATGAGGCTTTTGGGGGGCACTTTAGTTCTAAATCATAACATAGGGTATGCCAGCTATAAACTTTACTAGTAGTGTAATTCTCTTATAAACCAAAATATGTAGGTCAATTTTAATAGTGGGATTATATATACTTTGAGAATATCAAGATAAATGGCTCATCTGAATCTTTCCCTTTGCACCTTTCTTGTGGATTATTTTTAGCATCATAAGAAGGTTTTGAGATTTACTTAATGTCTTGGCTCAGATAGGATTTTCTACTTTTGTTCATTCAGATTCCAGGATTTTTCACAATCACATTTTAGAAATTTGAATGCTGAGCTAATATTGAAGGATTAATACTATTTAGTTTGCAACTTAAAGATTTGCAATGCTTATTATATTTTACAAACTTCAAAGTTTTTTAGGATAGATTTATAGGTATTTTGGTCCTTAAAGATCACATTGTAAGGCAAAGTATTTATAATTAGACTCTGTTACTTTTCTAATTAAGAGAAATTCTTAGTTATATCTTACGGCTATTCCAGTGTATGAATACTGTTGCATTTCTTACTTGACACAGATACTGTTTTTTGATTATATTAATAACTAAAAATGTGAGAAATACATCCTTAATAACTCTTCGTTTGATTAGATGAAGTAGTTTCACATATTTGCAAGTACATACTTGATACTAGGTAAAATATGTTAGTTTCAAAGTGTACTTTTACTATTTCAGTTAAAAAATTAAACTTTATGTAATTACCAGGTGGCAAATTGATTTTGAATATAATATTGCTGAGTCTATTATAAATAATTTAAGTCATGGAAAAACAGTTAAAAAAGGTGAATATACAGCTATCTGAAATGAAGGTCAACTAGCTTGAAGAACTTGGATAAAATTTAGAAAAAAATGTTTATTTGAGATGTTGAACAGTAGTGTTTACTAATAGGGCCAGAACTGGAAGAGGGGTTTAAGGCCATGTTTCTTCTGTGCTACTGGTCAAGTCACTAAACCTCATTAGTTAGTATTTTTTTTTTTAAATCTGGAAGGAGGCAGTACTAAATTTTATCTTGTGAGAAAGTGTTATTATTAATTCTAATTTACAGAAAAAATTAAGGCTCAACATCATAAAATGATTTGTTCAAGGTCACAGCCTTGTAATCCTTATTTTTTTATTCTGAATCTAATTGGTTTCTTATGATTACTCATAAATTGATGTTATTCTGAACATTATAAGATACCTCTAATTCCCAATAACTAGTTTAGTTGGGAATCAGTGAATATTAGAAATGGTTTTATTTAGGTATGTAGAATTAAAGTAATATAGAACTTTTGTTAGAAGAATGCATGGGACCTACTTCAAAGAACAGAAAATCACTAAGTCATTTGACTGTAGGCTTCTAAAATGCCTTCTTATTTAAAAAACCTTTCTAGCTGTATTTTTACCTTTAAATATGTCCTCCCTTTGAAGAAAAGATTTTAAAAAGGTGGCTTTGATTCCACTGACTCTGAATTTAAATTATGTAAGTGAAGGTCAAATAAATTAATATCTTACAGTATTTTAGATAGTATCACAACATCTAAATTTTAAAATGGATATGCTATGTGTTTAACTTAAAATTTTTTAAAATTTCCTTTATTTCTAGTGTGACTTCCTTTGGACAACTGATGATATTTATCATTGTGCCACATTTCTACAAATAAAAGATGGGTGGATTATTTTCTCGATGGAAAGTAAGTTAGTTCATAAATGTTCATAAAGCTATTTGTAAAAGTCTCTTTTGTGGTGCAGCTTTCAGTTGTAGTTTGATATTATCTATTTAATTTCTTCTAACTTCTGTTCTACTTTTCTGTTTTGAATTACTTTTTAAAATTTGGACTTTATCTTAGTAGTTCTATAAGTAAGTGCTTAATGTTTCTTTAAAATAATTATTTGACTTAGGAATTATTTTTGTTCCTGTATTTCTGTATTTGCATGTAAAAATGGTTATCTTTCTTATTTTCTTCTCATAACTGCCTAAATTTTGAATTTACTTTAAAGGTGGTTGAAATTAAGTATTCTATACCATCCTTACATTTTTTACACGTTATGTTTTTACTTAAAGCTTGTCACAAATATTTACTGAAAGCACAGTAATTGTGCTTTTAAGAATTGTAGATTAAACAAAATTAGAAATGTTTGATTTTATTGAATATTGGATGTATATTGAATATTGGATGTATCAGATTTAGAGCTAGAAAGTATAAATTATCTGATAAATGCTCTGTAATGTTAGAGGAGATAAGGTAGTCTAGGATAGATTGCTTATTTTTTGACTTCTTATTACAATAGTAACAGAGCCTAGCAATACTTGCTACATAATTTAGTTTTTGACTATTGCTGGGAAAAGGTATGTCTATATCTGACCCCCTCCTTTCTTCTTTAAATCGACAGATAAAGTCATATGTGTTTATTGTGTACAACATGGTGCTTTGAGATATGTACATACTGTGGAATGATTAAGTCTAGCTAATATATACTTTACCTCATATGGTTATCATCTTTGTGGTGAGAATGCTTGATGTCTATACTTAATATTTTTCAAGAATACAATAGCTCATCATTAGCTATAGACATCATGTTGTATACTAGTCTCTTGAACTTATTCTTCTGTCGCTTTGTATTCTTTGATCTCTTAACTTTTCATCAGTGTCATCCTCCAGGTTCCCAAGATTCTATTCTCTAGTTCTATAAAATTAACTCTTTTGATTCCACATGTAAATGAGATGACCCCCTTCTTTGAAATCTATGGCAGTTCTGCCTGAGGATCATATTTATCTCTTCTTCCTTTGTCTTATTAGGTTGAACCATATGAAATTGTCAATATTCTGCTTTGACTTATAAAATGGCAATCATAAAATGGCAATTCCATGTGGGTCAACTTAATTTTAACAGCTTTTTTAGGGAACTACAATCAGTGGATATTTGTTACTCTTCTGGATTGTTGAACTGGTAAATATTTTCTTGAGTATTGGCCATTGGATTTATATATTTACATGGTATAAAATCTTTGGCAAATAAACTCTGCCATAATGATGTATTATGCATACTTTAGGAATTCACAGTGGAAGTAACCTATTGATTTTGACTTTCCAAGTCCTAAATGAACTTCAGCAACAGTGTTTCAGACCATTTTAGTCTGTGGATTTTTAAAGTATTATTTATTTGTTTGTTGTGGTCCTGGGGCTGGAATACAGAGCCTCATGAAGGCTAGGGAAGCACTCTGCCACTGAGTCACATCCCTAGACCACAAACTCTTTGGAAAAATCATTATCTAAGAAAATTATTGTTGGAGGAAAGTTTGTTTTGAGATTAAGAGTAATGAAAGTTGAGCTGTCAGAGTTGAAATTTCTTCTAGGACTAAAAAGAAATAGAAAAGAGCTTTTAAAATCTTAAGTAGTTTTGTTTGTATTTTTTTTTTCACTTAAGTAAATCTTATTTATGAATAAATGAGGATAGGCTGACATTTGAAAAGAAAGTAATTCTGAATTAGGATTTTTCTTTTAATTATAAAACTCAAAGTGTTCTAAGTTTGCAATAAGTTTTAATGCCGTTTCTAATTTCTATTTCTGTAACAGACAAAGCCTTCAACTGTAGAAGTTCTAGAAAGTATAGACAAGGTATGTTCTTCAGGTTGGAAGTATTTTCATTTTAGGTATTAAGTAAATATTACTTTACTATACAGTATATTATATTGGAGGCCGATCTGCTATGGGAATTTAGAGATGATACAGAATAAGCCTGTGAGGGCTGGGGATTTAGCTCAGTGTTTCCACCGCTTGCCTGGCAAGCGCGAGGACCCAAGTGTAATCCCTCGTATCAAAAAACAAAAACAAAACAGAATAAGCCTGTGAACTTCGTTTCATGATCTCAAGAAAAAAATCTGAAGTCTGTCAGTGATTTAGTAACTCCTATAATCAAGTAATAGAACCTGTTAGAATGAAACTGTGTCTATAGCCTGCTGTTAATCAATGTTACAGACAGATTAAAATAGATTATAATATAATCTGCAGCAATTTTTATTGGACTGCAAAATATTTATAGCTTTGTATATTTTCTTTCATTATGCAAATGGTTATTCCCTGGGAATACTGGGAGTAGGAGTAGATGAAAGAATTTAGTATGGGCTAACGTTTTAATTTTTATTAATTCTTTTTTTTTTTTTTGCTAGATTTTTAAAGGCCTCATATATGGAGAATCACTACTTGTTTGACTCAAGAAATATTTATCGATGTTAGTTCTATTCCTTTAGTCTTGCAAGTTTAATAGGTTAAAAATAGTATTAAAATGTTCACTTTAAAAAGTGATTTGTCAGAATATTATAAATTTTGTGACATCATTTTTAGTTTTAGATATTGTTTAAAGTATCAGTATTTTATTTCATTGTATTTTAAGAATTCTTTCTAAAAAGCCTTTCTATCATGTTAAAAATTTCTAACATTTTGATTTTTTTAATGAACTTTGAAATTTAGTAATGTGGAATAATTTTCTCTTAACAGGAAATTCAAGCATTGGAAGAATTTAGGGAAAAAAATCAGCGATTACAAAAATTATGGGTTGGAAGATTAATTCTTTATTCCTCAGTACTCTACCTGTTTACATGCTTGATTGTGTACTTGTGGTATCTTCCTGATGAATTTACTGCAAGACTTGTGATGACACTCCCATTTTTTGCTTTTCCACTGATGTAAGTAAATTGTTCTTTTTGTTTATCTTTCCTTTTTCTGACCAAATGGTTTTAACATAGTCAGTCTCAGAGTAAAGTCTCAGATTGAATAAATTTGGATTATTTTTGCAATTTGAAATAGAAAAAAATGTTTAAAAGCTTTATTTATAATCGAACACACTCAAGGGATATTAACTAGGGTTATTGTATAATAGTTCTATGTGTCTGTATTCTGTGATTCTCTAATAGATAGCCACAATCATCTAGAGGCTTTGGGCAAGGAGCAGGGAGTAGAGATGACTAGGGAAGGATTTATAAAATTAAAATAACAGTTTTTCACACCAGAGAAACTTAGGGTTGAAAAACTATAATAGTACATAAGATCCTAATGATATAATTGACCATGTGAAATAGGAAGAAAAGGGCTAAAGGTGTAGGGAAAATGGGAAGGCTAGGGGAAAGGTAATAAGGGAAAAGAAAAATATATGACAAAATGAAAAAATGGAAATAAAGTATAAATGGGGAGGGGAGGAGGGGCTGAAGGGAGGGCAGGGACAAGGGGGAAAAATGAGAATCAAGACTTGTCATGTAAAGGTGCAAGATCCCAATGATGAACGTAATTGTACTGTATACCTTAAATGTACCAATAAACTCAATTAATTAAAAAAATTAAAATAACAGCTTCTCAAATGATTGAATATATTCTATTCATCCCAACTCTCTTCTCTTTTTAGGCTTTGCTATGGGGGTGTTGATCCTTAAGTAGTTCATCATATAGCACTTTATAAGAGCTGCATTCATTATTGAGAATTTTGAGAGACAGTTGAATGAAAAGTTTGTTCATTCAGTTAACATTTATAGATACCAATTGTGGAGACATTGAATTATTATTATTTTTGGTACTGGGGATTGGACTTGGGTCCTTGTGCTTGCAAGGCCGGCGGCAGAACCACTGAAATAAATCCCCGGCCCAATATTGAATTAGAATGGTGTATAAAAATACAAATTTCTGACTCTAAATCCTAGAATGGATATATTGTCATACGTATGATGAATGCTATAAAAGAGAAGTTCAAAATGCTACAGGGACATTTAACAGGAGCCTTAACCTAGTCTGGCATGGGGATAGAGAATAAGGAGAGCATTAGTATTAGTTTCCATTGCTGCCACAAATTGAACAGCTTAGAATAACACCCATTTATTAGTGTTTTGTAGGTCAGAAACACAGGGGGCTTGACTGGGTCTCTGCTTAGACTCTCACAAGCTGAAGTCAAGGTATCAGCTGGTCTGGGGTCTTACCTAGAATCGTTAAGGGTAGAATCTGCTTCCAGTTCCAGTCAGGTTGTCATCTTTCTATTTTTCCCTTAGCTGGGAGAAATCTCTGCTGTTAAGAGCTCAAGTGATTATATTAGAACCACTAGGATAATCCAGGATAATCTCTCTATTTTAAAATCGACTAAGTAATAACCTTAATTATATCTGCGATAATTCTTTATAGCAATATCTACATTACTATGTGATTGTATAACTAAATGATGGAAATCTTTGTGATAGGAGAAAGATATCATTAGAATTTTGCTTACTACAGACCCTCAGAGAAATTGATATTTGAGTGTTAGGCCTGAAGGATAATATGTGTTCTAAGGTGATGTGACTCGGTGGACAGAGCATTGTAGGCCAAAGGGACAATATACATAACTGCCCTAAGGTATGTAGTGGTGTTATACCTTTTAGAGCTTTCAATGATAAAAACAGCTGGCTGTGGCATGCATGCCATAGGTTTTCACTGGGCTAAAGCATGGTAGGTTTAAAGACATGAAAGAAAAAACAAAATCTGGATTTTAGAGAAAAGGTGGATAGTTAGCCAAATATTTCATATGGGCCCTGTAGTTCATGAGGGTGTTAGGCTCTAAGATTGATGGGAATAATATTGTAGCCACTGAGGGTACAGCTTGGAGGATAAAATAGAGGGGAAGAGTGGGGAGTTAAGAGGTTATTGTTGGGCCAGGGATGTGGCTCAAGGGTGCTGTGCCTACCTGGTAAATGCAAGGTCCTGAGTTGATCTTAGTACCAGAAAACAAAAACAAAAAAGATTTTTGTAGTTGATAAAGAGAAAAAGATGATTTGTACTTAAGTTGGTGAGATTGAAGAAGGGAGATGAATTGAATAAAATAGATGGATTAAGGAGATTTAGAAGATAGAATTGAGGTAATATGGAGACTTTTGGTGGTAGATTGGATGTGGCATGCGATGGAAGAATCACGTCAAGTATAAAACTCAAGTTTATGGCTTGGGAATTTTGGTTGATGGTAATGTTCTTCATGTGCAATGTGAGAAGGAGCAGGTTTGGTGACTCACTGAGACTAAAATACCTAGGTATTTTCGAGACAGCTGTCAACTGAGTGGTTAAGTATGAGTGTGAAGCTGGGAAGAAATTTGGATGGGAAATATAAATTTAATGTTTGGAGGCTTGTAGATGTTAATTGAAGCTATCATCTCTTAATTCATTAAATATGAAGCATTTACAATGTGTTAGGTATTGGGTTAGACCATAGTGGTGGAGAAAGTAGTAATAAAGAGTTTTGCTCTTGTGGAACTTATATTTTACTGGAGTTGTAAAGATAAAAATAGCAACAAGTAAACAGTGATTTAGAAAGAGATAAGCGTGATAAAGAAAATAAGGTGATTTGAAAGAAATAGGCTATTTTAGGATAGTTCTGGAAGATCTCTTGAGAAAGTAGTATATGAATTGAGAACTAAAGGATGAGGAAGAACCAGTGTGTAAAAGATAGAATTTATGAAGATTGTAAGTCCAGGAGTTGAGGGAAGATCTTTCCAAAAACAGAGATCGGAAAATGCAAAGTCTATTACCTGAAGAGAATGTGACTTATGTGTGGGGCAAAAAAGAGACACATATTTGGAATGTGTGATGGTGAGGAAAAGTTAAATGAATTAAGCTTAGAAAATCAGACAGGGCCTACATTGTGGAGGGTCAGGGCTAGTGATTTGAATTTCACTTTAGGTAAAATGATGAAATTTAAGTTAAGAAGCACATGCAGGGCCAGGGCTTTAGCTCAGTGGTGCTGCTGCCTGCCTTGTCCTGAGTTCAATCGGTACGGAAAAAAAAAAAAAAAAAAAAAAAAAAAGCACGTTTATGCTGCCATGTGGAGATTGGGTAAGGGGGAACAAGAGTAGAAATGGAATCTGTCATAGAAATTTAATCTAAAGATGAGGATAGATTGGACTACCCAGTAACACTGGAAGTAAATAGATGACTTGGAAATATTTTCGAGGGAAAATTGATTGATGCTAAGAAAGGGGAAGTGAAATTAAAGGGGATACATTTTTAGTTTGAGATTTGGTAAAGGTAATAACTTCGGGACTGCTATAGTAAAAATGTGTGTTTAGTCTTTAGAACTTCTGAAGTTCATAAAATTTCAACTTTATATGATTTTAAAACATATATTTGTATTTTCAAACATGGAAGCCGAAAGTGAATTTATATTTAATATTGTACCTCGCCTTGCTTTTCTGAGCATTCAGGATTAAATTAGTGCCTCATACGTGCTTGGCAAGTGCTCTGCCGCTAATCTACACTACCAACCCTTCTTCTAGTTTATTTTTCTTTTATCATTAGAAATCTTTTTCAAGTTTTTTTTTTCTCCTAGACATAGGAGTGGATTTTATTGTACTGAATGCCTTTCATTTGTATCTTTTCTATTTTTTCATAGAAATAAATTTAAAAAGGGAATGAGATATCTAATTGATTAAAACCTGTTTAAATATTTAAACTTCCTTTAACATCCATTTACGTATATAAATTGCTTTTCTGATTATAAAGAAATTGTAGCTAAGCTAGGCATGGTTATACACACCTGTAATTCCAGCACTCTGGGTAACTAAGGCAGGAGGATCACAAGTTCAAGCCCAGCCTGGGCAACTTAGCAAGACACTGTCTCAAAGTGAAAAATGAAAAGGGCTGTGGATAGTTTAGTATGAAGGCCCTGGGATCAATTCCCAGTAACAGACACACACACACACACACACACACACACACACACACACACACACACACGTGCATGCACTTGCATTCACACACAGGAATTTAGATCTAGTTCCAGAAGTATGTTTAATAGGCCGGTGTTCTATCACTTAGCTACCCTGTAGCCCTAATTGTTATTTTTTTTGTACAGTGCTAGGGATTTTATAGTGCTGATTAATTGTTTTTTTAAATAGAGAACTTTACATCTTTAAAAGTATAGTTCCTTTTTTTAGTTGGATCTTGCTGCTATTTTGAATATGAAGCTTTGTTAACCTTACTGTGTGTCTCTCTGTCGTGCGTCATATCCATCTAGTATTTCTTGACTTTTAAGCTTCAGAGCCATTTCTTACTCTGTCTCATTCAGCTTTGTGATTTTATTCTCAACTGTTGTAGCTTCTATTTCAGTGAGCTCTTTACTTTTAGAAGCATAACCCAATTATCCAACAAAGAATAAAATTGTCCTGATTGATAACAATAAAAAAAAAAAAAGAAATAAAATACGTGAAAGTGGAGTTTGTGGTAAATAGAAGACCTACTGTAGGACATTTTCTTTTATGTGTAATATGATCTGTTGCCAAGCTTATTACTTATTCCTGGACTTTCTCCCTTTGGAAACAGTTTTGAGGGTTAGGCTAGAACTATTTAAATAGTATTGGAGGCAGAAATAATAAAACATACTGCTTTATTCTTCACAGTCTACATTGATTATATAGCCTAGAAAAATCTATCCTTGTATGTGTGACAGCTTTCTCTGCATTCCCATTTTCCAAAATACTTTTACTAGTGAGGTCACGGATCAGAACTGAGCCTATGTTATTTGGAATCATTCCTATTCCCAAATTGTTCTTTATGGTAGGATATCAATACTTCAACATAAGATGCTGTGAGATTTTACTTTATCTTCTCTTTAGTGTATAATATAGAAGAACTTGGCATGATTCCATTATTGTTTCCTATCTTTTAGGTTCAATCATGTATT